CTGCCACCAACGCGTATTAGTAAGCAAGCTTAGGGACAGGACCCTAATAAACCACTAGGAGGCTCCACAAGTGCGGGGATATACATAGTAATAGATCTATTAGATATAGATCTAATTAGAAATCCCTTGTATAATCTTTTAGTATATCCTAAACTAAACGCTATAATCCACGCTATGATCGCAGTAGCAATAGGGAGCAAATCTCCTAAAAACCCTAAAAGGAATACGCACTAGGACGCTCTACAAAAAGAGCTAAAACAATAGAAGGATCTCTATAACCACTAAATAGGACAGCAATTTAGAGACGTAGCATATAAAGAAATTAATACTCTACTAAAAGCTAGTACCTAGGAGGAGATTAATAGGCTAAATATAGGAGAGCGTCTACTCCTACTTAAATAGGTGTTTACATATAAGCTTAATTAGGATAGTTACCTAATTAAGTGCAAAGCAAGGATAGTAGTAAGAGGAGATCTACAGCTTACTAACTCAATTTATTTAACCTACGCAGCTACCCTAGCAGCTTAAACCTTTAGGACTACAATAGCTATTAGAGCTAAGTTTAACCTTAAGATATATTAATATAACGTTGTTAGAGCTTTCCTTAACGCCTTAAGAGATTAACACCCTATAGTTATCTACAAGCTACCTAAAGGATATTAAATACCTAGGAAGTGCGTTAAGCTTAAACGAGCTCTATATAGACTAAAAGACTTAAAATTATTATAGTATAATAAGCTCTTAACTACACTCTAAGAAAATAAGCTTATTGCTTCTAAAGAGGAGCTATACCTATTCTTTAACAGAGATCGCAGTATCTTGTTAATATTCTATATAGACAATATCCTATCGCTCTATCACTAAAACTACGCAAGCTAAGCTTACAAAGTTATCCAAGCTCTAAAGCAAAGATATACTATAGAAGAGAAGGGACCTGTAAGCTAGTTTCTAGGGGTAAGAGTAATCTAGGATAGAAAGAGACAGACAATAACGCTTATTTATAATAAATACATTAACAAGATTGCAAAGAAATTTAATCTAGCAGAGACAGGAAAATTCCCTACTATACTACTATTAAGTAAAGATATTAAAAAGAGCACTAGAGAAGCTACCAAAAAGGAGATTAAGGACTATTAGGAGCGCGTTAGATCAATCCTTTACACCTTAATTATAGTACGCCCTAATATTACCTATGTAGCCTCCTAGCTCTCCTAATACCTTACTAACCTATCTAAACAACACTTTAATACAGTTAATTAAGTAATCGTCTATCTATACTAAACTTAATACTAATCAATCTAATATAGGAATAGGGATCCTAATAAGCTTATAATATATAGTAATACGTTATTTGCTAATAATATTAATACTTAGCGATCATTACATAGATACCTAATCACGCTCTTTAGAGGACCTATTATTTAGAAGGCAGCTTAATAATTAACTGTTACTACTTTAACTACTAAGGCAGAGCTCCTTGCGCTTAAGCAAGTAAGCAAAGAAGCAATAGCGTTAAAACGCTTTTTAACTAAAATACACCTTACTTTACATACTACCTAGACAATTAATTATAATAATTAATAAACTATTAGGTTAGTAGTAGGCAATAATAAAAGGATCACTACTAAGCTGCGCTATGTAGATATTTAAAACATGTAGCTTAGGCAAGAGTATATAAAGGGATCTTTCTATATTGCCTACCTACCTACTAGCAATATACTAGCTAATAGGCTTACTAAAAACCTAATAGCATAATAATTTATAAGGTTTAGGGAGCACCTAAAGTTATATAATAGTAGAGTATATATTATATAGCATTAATTAAAGTAAGGTAGTATATAAGATCTATTAATATATAATATAAAAATAACTAACTAAAGCCTACCTCTCTATTATTAACTAGGTAGCTTCCCTAAGGAGCTCTATCACGCGCGTAAAGCGTGCCTTAGAGTCTATAGGGGGCTACCTAGGTTACCCTATCCTAGGATCTATAGGGGGAACCTTAGAGGAGCTAGAGTCCTTATCTTCTAATAAGGAGCTCTAGGCGCCCTTAGCTGCAGAAGCAGCCTTGCGCGCAAGCTTAGCAGCAGTAGCAGTAGCTTTTACTAGCTCCTGCTATTTAGCCTTGCTCTCCTTAAGGAGCACTAAGACCCTTTGCTTCTTATCCTTAAGAAGGTCTTAGCTCTTACTTACCTGCTTCCTTACTAGGAAGGACAGCGCAGAATATTAGGCGAGCTTAGGGCTATTAGTTAGTTTATTAGTATAAGATCTTGCTAAGTATTATAAAGGAAAAATTCTTATATAGATTATATATATTAGGACATAGCTATACCTAGAGGAGCACTACTAGCACTAAGTCCCCCTACTAGAAGAGTTATAGCACTTGCTATTAGACTTATTAAAGAGCGCTAAGCGTAGATAATTTAGATAAGTTTTAGCATAACAAATACTAGGCTCTCTATAGCAGGAGGATCTTAGGGTCTCCTTAGGAGCTAGAGAGGGAGTAGGGGCAGGAGTGGGGGCCTTAGGCGGAGTCTAGGGAGGAGCGGGAGCTAGAGTTAGAGCTAGAGTAGTAGGAGCTAGAGCAGGAGCGCCTTACCTTAGCTTTGCAATCTTAGCTATAGTAGTAGTAGCTACGCGCTTAGCTACTATACACTCTATAATAGCCTTACGCTTAGTAGTAGCGCGCTCTTCTTTAGTAGTAGTGGCTTTAGTAACTATAGCTTTAGCTACATAGGAGGTAATAAGGGCAGCGCAGGTAGAGTAAGCGTAAGTAGTAGGTTTTAACTTTAACTAAGATATAAGTTAGTAGGGATATAAGTATAGTTTAGATCTTTAGGGTTATATAATCTTATAACTTAAGCTATAGTAAAAAATTATAGTTAGGTAGATAGAGTTATAAAGCTCTATCTAGATAATATCTACGCGCGTAAGCGCAGGCTAAATAAGAAAGGCGCGCTAGTTAGTATCTAAAGGGTAAGCTAATTTAACCCTTTAGATATACAACGCTCTAATTAGCTACACTACCTACTAACTATAAGCGCAACTATAACAACAAAAGATCTACCTACACCTAGGGGGTGTGTTGCAGGAGGGATATTAACTAGAGTACAGAGTATCTTAATCCTAATTAATCCTAATTAATCCTAATTAATACCCCTGTATAACCCACTATCTAATTAACTGCCAGCTTACTACTAAGTGCCTAATAAAAAGCAGGAGCTCTAGTAAGGAAGGTTTACTAATTATTTACCTTCTAGTAAGGGTAGCTAAAGCTCTATATATATAAGTACGATCGTAGTAAATACAATCTAATAATCTATCTCCCAAATCATTCCTAACCTTAGTGATCCAAATTTCCACATAAGTATAATCCTAGTAGATAGAGCTTTAAAGATAGTCCTGTACTATAAGCTCTCCTTTAATATTAGGGATATTCTATACCTTACCTTAAGCGTATAGGACTATATACTCCTTCTACTAATAATTAGTATCTTAGCTACTAATCTTTGTCTTAGCAAGACAAGCCTTATACTATAATCTTACTAGTATTATAGCGCTTAATTTATTTAGTGTTAGGTTATTATAAAGTAGTTAAATTAATATTTAAAGGGTTACTCTTCCTTAATTAATAAGCCCTATATAGGCTACAATAAGAATCCTTTAATCTACTATATTATTAACCTATATAAAAAGATTCTAGATTACTAATAACTTTAATACCTAATCTAATAAGCAAGCTTAGTACTAGGCTATTTATAGTTTATACTACTTACTTAATATATTAAATACTATAATACCTATTAGTATACTAGGCTTAATAGGTCTATTTTTAAAGTAACTTTTAGTCTCTAAAGTATTAGGGCCTACTTCTACCTAGATCCCTTTAGTTAGGGCATAGTACCTAAATTAAATATACTAGGTAGGCTAATTAGTTAATCTAGTAAGTAGAATATCCCCCTTTAGAATTAAGTTACTTATAGTAGAAGAGTAATAAGTAAGTTTGTACTTAAGAAATAGTATAGAAAAATAAAGCTTGCTAGCTTAGTAATTAAGTTATATAGTATACTTAAATAGATAGGATAATCTTTAATAAAATAAAGCGTAATCTAGGCTTATAACTATAGAAATTTAGATTACTAAGGTTAGGAATAATTTAGAAGATAGATTATTAGATTATATCTACTACAATCAGACTTATATATATAGAGCTTCAGCTACCCTTACTAGAAGGTGAATAATTAGTAAACCTTCCTTACTAGAGCTCCTTCTTTTATTAGGCACTTAGTAGTAAGCTAGTAGTTAATTAGATAGTAGGTTATACTAGGGTATTAATTAAGCATTAATTGGGATTAATTAGATTAAGATGCTCCGTAATCTGGTTGTTATCCCTCCTGCAACAGTTAACTATAAGTAACTATACTTTTTTACTATTTCTAAATATATAAAATCTTCTCTAAGAGGTTAAGGATTTAATTGCTGCAAGCGCGTTGTTAATAGGTGCCATGGTTGTTAAGAAATGTGGTGTTGAAAATTTGGTGATTTTGGTGTTAGTGGTTGCTTGGTGGCGGTGGGCGCTTGGTGGTGGATCACGTTAGGGCTTACTATTATCCCTATAGTGCTTACTATTATCCTAAGGTGGTGACTACCTACTACTATTAGCGACTCCCCTATCCTAGGTTGTCTGGGAGACACCTATTTTGGACTAGTGGATAGGCTATATCTAGCCACCTTGGGGCTCTTCGTCCATAGATTCTTTAATTAATACTTTCTCATCAAATCATAGATCACCTCTAATAAGTGATAATGTGATAAATCCATTCTCTAATCTAACATTCACTTGCTGAAAAACTTACATTGGTTTGTATTGTACATGGACAACAATGAGCCATCGGCCAATAACGCCGGCAATGTGCTTCCGGTACCCAAGCCGGAAGAGGATGTCAACATCATGATATCATGACTTGCTCGCTCACCACCAGTTGCTCCCCTTCAGACCTTTACTTCTCAGCCGGATCTTCCAAGATAAACTTCCACATGACTTCCGCCGCCGTCTTTGCACCATCCATGGCATTCAACGTCTCCGCCAGAGTCCTCGCTTTAGCCGCATATCCAGGGTCTTTCAGAACCGTCAGAATCGTCGACCGGATATTCTTTGCTTTCCAAAACTGCTTTTGCACGCGGATGCCGGCGCCCGCATTCATGGCGTTGTCCAGGTTGGTTTGCTGCTCGACTTGCAGCGCGACGCCGACAATGGGCTTTCCAGCGGCCAAGGCGCATTGCACTGTTCCTTGGCCACCGTGTGTTACGATGACATCGGCAAGAGCATTTGCTGCTGAGGCGGGGATGAAGCGATCAGTTACTAGGAGGCGGGGATCGCCACCCGCGACTGCATTCGCTTTGTTGATGTCGCAGATAGACTTTGATGCGAGGACCACGGCGTTCCAGTCATCTTGAGGGTTCATATTCAACGCTTTGATAGCCTCGAACAAGAACTCTTCGGTACCAGAGCTTCCCATTGTCACGAGGATGGATGGGCCAGGACCCTTTTTCAGGTGTGTTGCAATGTCATCGTCCAGTTTTGCATCGTTGCGGGCGTAGAGCGGACCGGTGAGCACAATGTTCTTGGGAATTCGATGCAGGTATTCTTGGTGGAAGACTGGATGATCATTGACAAGGTTGAGATCAGCCATGTTCATATCGAAGAGCGAGATTGGTCCAGTGATGGGCCATCCTGCAGCCGCAGCAGCCGCTCCCAAACGCTTCTGCTGAAAGATGGGGGCCTTGATCATCAAGCCACTTGCCCACCAAGCCATGCGTTGCCGAATCGGACGGGGCAAACGAGTGAAGAGCGGCATCAAGTCCGGAAGATCACGAATCAGGCCATGTGCAAAAGCGGATGGGTGCAGAGGTACGGGCAGAAAGTTGATTGTGCGGATGCCCAAAAGACGAGCAGCAATCGAAGCCGGCGCCCACATGCCATGGAAGACAACATCAGGCTTCAAGTCCCTGAATGCGGCGAGTTGGCCATCAATGAATGTCTTGGCTATCTCTTCTGATCCGAAAAACTCTGGCCAGTCCCATCCGAGATCGTGAGCGACGGATATGCCCTTGACGCGAGGTTGGGCTGGCACAATGTTGAACCCGGCATCTGTGATTTGGTACTCGAACCTCGAACCGCAAGACAAAAAGTCTATCTTGAGATCGATTCCTGTTGGACACATGTCTCGCAGGGCAATGGCCATGGCGATCGCACGGGTCGTGTCGCCTGCATCTTGCCACGCTACGCTGAGGACGATGTGAATGGCCTTTGGCGCCATGGTTGCCTGGAGTAGGTATCGAGCGTCGGAATGTGTGGGAGCCTTCTTTACCAAAAGCTACCAACTGGAGCCGCCAGTCTTAATAGTAAATGAGCGCTAATACAGTGTGTACGGCTATCAAGGAGTGGCAAAGTGCTGTTATACATTTGGTAAGCTACCATAGCCACACAAGGTTGATCTTACTTATGGTATGCCTCATGTGCGGATCCCACATCCCCTCCATGTCCGACGAGACAGCTTGCAAGCACCTGCATATGCGGTGAAATCTCAAGGCTCTACCCAAGACGTCCGGTGCTCATCAGCGCGGAACGGCGTGCCAACCGGATTGTACCTATCAAAACCATGGGGTGTGTAGAGTACCTACCTACCTACGCGATACCAGGTTGACAGCATAAATTGAATTCTTATTGAGCAGCTTACCGGTACATCATCGATTTCCCGCGGGGAACCGTCGCAAATGCACATTTCTTAGGTTCACCATGCGCTTTGCTGACACGTCTGACCTGGATCAGGCACAGCCTAGCTTTCCCACCATTTGACCTTCATTAATTACCGCGGCTCCAATTCGCTGCAAACACCGCCATTATAAGATGTTGTCGGTTTGGAGCAGAGCCCACATAAGCCTCTCCTTCTGCAGATAAACCCCCATCCTCCGGTTCAATTTCATCAGCATCGGTGTGTCGGGAGCTGACCAACCCCATGGTGCTACCTGGCAACCTGTTGAACAGCACCGCCGCCATCGCCCTGCATGTTGCATCCACGGACGAGCAGTATCTATTGAGCCTATGCCTCTCGCCAGAGGGTGTCTCGTCATGTACGACCATGTCATATGCGAACAAGGCTGCACAGCTTGATCCCGCGACATTAGCCTTGGACACGGGACCAAGCTAACTGGCAAACCATGATATTAACGTGTCAGCCTTACCGTACTGGATCTGTAAGACGCGTAAACAAACTAAACCACTCGTATGCCTGTTCAGTGTTGTTGTCCATGTGGACGCGCCATAGGAGTCGTGCGCGGCATCAACAGCCGCACCTCAATACACCAAGATGTGCCCTATTTAGTACCAAAACATATATACCTTGTCGACAGTAAAAGCTATACCTGTCAGATTCTAAATGTACAATGATGAATGCTAAAGAATAATTCAAAAAACTCCACCAACGCCCATACCATGGATCCCCAGTCTATTTCCGACGCCTCGGCCAAAAGAAAACCATACAAATCGCGTCACAAGACACAGTGGTACCTCATTGCGCTCTAGAAGTGTTCAACTCATTGCGAAGGTCAGGGTTTGCCTTTGCTGTTAGACTCGATGCAAAGTGCATACTCGATTGGTGCAACCGTCTCCATGCTCGCCGCCGAGGAGCAAGGGCTTCCTCACTTGCTGCTGACTTTTCCGAAGCCAGATCTGACTTCTCATGCGTATCTTGCTGCGCCAGCCGTATACCCGGCTGCCCTTGCT